CCAAATATTTGAGTTGTCTGGCTCTGATTGGTTGTTGCTTTATTTTAATTTTCTTTTATTTTTTAATATTTTGTTTTAATTAGAAAATGCAATACAAATTGATGATGGATCTATTGCTTTTGGGCCTGACATGCACACACTATCCACACCTCTCCCAGGAGACCATTACACGCGTTTTTTGGCTAATTTTTTGTTTGACACTTTGTTTGACAAAAGTGTTTGGACCTTACTGGACTGGGCCTTAGTTCCAGATGTATTACTATACACACACCTTTGTTTCCAGTTTTCACCTCCAGTTTCATTTCTTCTTTTTCTTTTTATTTTTCTTTTATTGTTTGTTTTTGTTTGATTTTTCTTTTATTGTTTAATATTTGAAAATTGACAAAAAAAGTTAGGATTGCATGATTTTTAGGACTTTATTTTGACATTTTTGATCTTCATGTTTATGATGAATTATTGATATAAAATAATTCCAATTCTTGATGCCATGTTTGGTTGCTTCATGACTTTAAATCTTGATGATTTTACTTGATGAATTTTGGCATGATAAAATTGTTTGATCTTAATCAATTATTTGTTTGAACTTGATGTTTGATCTTGATGAATTATTTGGTTGTTTTGATGCATGATAATTGTTGATATGCCTTGTTGATATTATTTGTCATGATGCCATGTTCTTAATATGTTTTAATTCCATGCAAAATCTTGTAAAGTGTTTTACCTTGTATGCTTTTGTGAATCTTGGATACATGATTTAGTTGATTCTTGGCGTGTCTCTTATTGACTTAAGAGGTATGCCATATTCATGTTTAGATGCATTTCTTGAGTAATCTTTTTCCATGATGCTTGATGCTTCCATGATTTGATCTTGATGACTTCTATTGTTGAGCTATGACACAATGTTTTGTTTGTGCTTGATGCTTGATCACTTCTTTGCTTTGTGCTTGATACATTGCTTGATGTTGTTGGTTTTATACTTGTTTGATTCACATGCTCCCTTATGTTTTCTTAATTCAATTTAATCTTTTATTAACTTTGAATTAAGATAGGCACTAAGACTTAATCCAAGTATGAAAACATTAATTAGGATTTCCTTTTGAACTAAACTTTAAGTCCACTTTGCATGACAACAATTAGGATCAAGTTTCCATCTAGACTTTGTTTGCCTTTCCATTGCATCCTTTTTCTTTTAAAAGAAAAAAAAATCTTTTCTTAATCAAACTCAAACACACTTAATAAAGGAGATGTGAATCGTGTGTCGTTGAGTCTTATGGAAAAGAATGAGGCAATGTATTTCTAACCTTTCTCTTCTTCCATTCATGGACTTTAATGCGATTTAATTCATAGATAATTTCAAAACTAAAGGTGGAGAAGTAGCTAAGTGCCCCTGTATTGGGAGTCATTTACTATCCAATCCCCGACAAAACACTTCAACAAATCAAATCTCTTTTTTCTTTTGGATTTTCCCATTAAAACCTTTTCAAAAAGCGTATGTTATTTTTGTTCTACCACAATTGGGCAACGCACGAGTCTCCACACAACGAGAGACAACACCTAACTGCTAGAATGCGAACATAACATCGTCCACTAAAAAACAACCAACAAACCAATATTTTTTAGAAGAACTACATAGTTATGATTTCTTAATTTCACTATAGAGATACATAAGCACTGGGTTATAAGGCCTGGGAGAAATCAATAATAAAAACCTTTTGTTTTCTCTAAATCAATTCATTCATGCATTCCCTTAGCAAGTAAGTTTTAGATAACACACCCTTTGATTAGAACAACCAGAGTGGATCCCGTTGAGTACAATGGATGTGAGGGGTGTTAGCACCTTCCCCTTGCATAATCGACTCTCGAACCCGACTATTGGTTTCAAGACCATGTTTTTTTCCCTTCTGAGGTTTTCTCGTGTTTTCCTTTCCCCTTTGGGATAAATAAATTTCAATGGTGACTTTGTGTTTTTTTGCGATGCGACAGCTGGAAACTCTGTTGGGGAATACCCAAGAAAGTCAGTCATATCTCTTGTTTGTTTCTTTTCTTTCAATGTTTATTCTATATGCTTTACTTTCTTCATTCACTTGTATTCATTACATTTTACTTCTACTGTCCATATTATTCTGGATATTATTGTGTTGTTGCGTTGGGTGTTGTTACTGAGGGATAAGCCTACTACCTAGGCTTGAGTTACACACAGGATTAGAATGGATAGTCATGTCTCCTATGAGTTGTATACCTTACTAGTGCATCATGAGAGTTCAAACTGAAGAAGAGACTTAGAAAATGATGAGAATAGCTTCAGTGATGCCTCGGGAGTACGAATATGTGATTAGCTTGCTTTGAAACCTTCTTAAACTCCTCAACCAAGTCCACTTGGTTGATGAAGAAGATGAAGTTAGATAGCACGATCTAATGAATACAAATGCTCACCAATGCACACAAAAGCTTGATTATGATGCGTTCATGATGAATGAAGCAAGAATTTGCATAAAGCTTGAGAGAAATCAAGAATTTGAAGGTTGAAAGTAGAGAGAAAAAAGAGATCATAGATCTGGAATTTTTGTGTAAAATCAAGCTACATAGCGGGAATGTAGCTTATATAGAGGGTTGGTTTATGTTTGAAGAGATGTATGGAACAAATGCAAAGGCTTGGAGTTAATTTTTTTGGCATGGAGTTTGTTATGATCCAAAATTGCACATGTTTATCAGATTCAAATATCAGTAGTATGGGAAGTTTTTGATCAGTTTTTTGGCATGTAATAAATTTTTTGTGATGATAATGGTGAGATGGCCTGGTACAATTCATGTTGAGCAAGTTTTATTCACTTTTTGCAAATTCTATTTTTGGTCATTTTTGTGAAATTTGGAGTGATGGCAGGCGCATGTGTTTGGCTGAATCAGAAAAAGTTTTCATGTATTTTGATTAGGTGAGGTCAAGTTAAATGAGGTAGTACAATGTATGGAGTGTGCACACGATTTGGACTATCTTGTAAGAATGGATTTGAATGGAATTTAACAAAAAAATGAAGTGTGATCGTAGGACATATTTGGTGCCAAAATTGCATGAGGTTATGGACCTAGTTTTGGACACTCTTTTGGACCAGTATATTGACATGTTGGAATTGGTTTAAAGGTTGTAAGAAAATAGATCATAAGTCTTGAAATTTGAATTTTGAAAACTTGCCAAAAATGGGTGATAAAACTTGAATCTCACTTGAATCTTTAACTTGCACTTGTACTTCAAATGATGATTAAAGCACACTTGGAATTTGAAATAATGAAACCTTGAGACTATGGATTTGAAGTGAACAAAAATGATGAGGAACCTTGAACTTTGTCTTTAAGCAATGCCTTGAAATCAAAGTTTCATCTCTTGCCAAATTGTGACTTGTATCCCAAGCAATGCATCTCCCACTTGAAATTTGAAATACTGAACTTGTAACTTGATTTGCAAGAAATCCAAGGGAACTTTTTAAATTTAGCAACTTTGGACCAGATTGAAATAAAAGGCAATACTTGAATGAACCCTCCAAATATTCTTCAATAAAAACCTAATTCATAAGTGTCAAACCAAAGTAACTTGTATTGCAAGTGATGATCCTTTGAAAGCATGATGATGCCTTGAGCAAATTTTGAGAATTCAAGGGACTTGAAACATAGAGAAAGTTACCATGAAACCCTAATCTCCTTGAAGTATCTCAAGAGAATGCCCTAGGTGCATAATGATGAAGAAATGCCTTGAGAGAATGAAGAGTACCCAAAACCCTAGTTCCTTTGAGTGAAGAAAGTGTCTCGATATGTTCATTAAATGAGGAAGAAAACTTGAGATGATGAGATTCATCAAAACCCTAATTCAAAGCAAATCTCAGTTGAATTCATGATATAACTTAGCCCTTGATGCTTTAGACGATTTCTTGAAGAATAATGAACTTGATGAACCTTAATGAGGAAGATACTTGATGATATGATTTCAAAATTTTTCCTCATCTTGAATGAAATATCCTTCCCTTTTAATGAGGAAGACCAAAATCACAAGAGATCTCTTGATCCTATGCCTTAGAAGCCTGTGATATGAATGATTGTGATTGTTATGATCTAATGGATAATGCACATGAATGAGAAACAAAAGCCAATTAAAGTTGATAACGGTGAGAGAAAATTTTGGAGTACAACAACTATCACTATCATTTATCTGATAGATAGATTGTAGAAAGTGTCTTGTTTGTGTGCTTTAGCATTTGAAAGTCTCATGTATGTGTGTTTTAGCGTTGAAGTCTATTGCCTGTGTGCTTGAGAAATCAGAAGTCTCTTGCTTGTGTTCTTGAGTATTAAAGTCCCTTAATTATGTGTTTGGACATTGGAAGTCTCTTACTTGAGCAATTTGTAATCAAATTCAATTATAGTGAAAATCTCTTAGAAGTGCAAGAGGACTGGATTGTTCCTGATTTTTAAAAGGAACCAGGATAATTGTGTGTGTTTTTGCTCTCTTCTTTATTTCTGATCAACATTATTATGGTGCTATCACCATCATACTCTGACTCAAAGTTTGTCCGTGTGGTCATATTCTAATAAGAGATTTAAAAAGTAAAAAGGGAAAAAAGTTAACACAACTCAACTCACCTTGTATTTTTATCACCTTCAAATTGTACTTTGATATTGCGTATGTACTTACTTTAAGGATGGTGCGGTAGATATATATTGAGACCGAAGTCCTTCAGGGGGAGTATGGTTGTCGTCTTTACCCTCAGAACCATGTGGAGGAGAGCGGCGTACTCGGTATAGAACTATAAGGTTTTAATTGAACTTGTTTAACTCTATACATGGAGATTTCACTTTATTCTGTAACTGGCTAATTAACATGAGAATAACTTCATTGAGAGAAAGAATGTACATAATTGTTTTTAAAACATAAGTGCTTACAGATTTTTACATTCAATAACTTAAAGGCACATATATGAACAATATACCTTGAATGAGAGAAGAATCAAGGAACATTATCATGCAGTGTGTGTGATATTAACAACCCTATGCAACCTCTCAAGAATTCCACTAGCTTTCCTCTTAGCCCTTGATGTTCCATTCTTTGCAAGTTCAGAAATTGTTCTATAGCTATTCTCTTCTTCCTTTATTTCCCTCAACTTGGATCTATCATATAGACATATAGTTTGAAGAATCGCAACGCAATTCTCCTTATTGCGCTCGCACGAGCTCTCTCGCATGATACTTAGCAAACAAGGAACAGCTCCAAGCTCTGCCATTTCAAGAACAGCTTTCTGATGAGTTGAAAGTAGCGCAAGAATAGCTAGTAATTCGTCAACATGAAGTCGGTTTTTCATCTTCGTCATAATCACTCTAACCGCACCGTCTTTCACTGCTCTTGCCTTGTTGTCATGCATCATACATAAAGTGAATATTGCTGAAGCAACATCTTTCATAGTTAAGGTATTCCCTTCTTCCATTAGGTCGATAAGCGGTTTCAAGGCGTTCGATTTTCCTATAAGTTCTTTGTTTGAGTCTAGTGCTGATAACGTGAAAAGGGTTGCTGCAGCATTGGCTCGTGTCTCGATTGTTCCACATCTCAATGACTTCATAAGGAGATGAATCACCATTGGAGTTTCGGCTACTTGTTTCTTATTGTTGTCATGAATCGAGATATTGAGAAGTGTCGTGATCACGTCTTCTTGAAGATCATGGTTAATACTATTTCCTTCACAAATAGGCTTAAGCAATTGAGGAATTGCATCTTCGAAATCACAAAAAAGTACTCTAAAACAAGGATGCTTCTTTGTCAACAATCTAAGTTGTTTTGCAGCTTCTTTCTGATCACAAAGTGTTGATGACATTTTCTCAAGCAAACATAAAAAGTGATTCTGATCAGCTTCTTTAGCACCTTCACCATTGATATAACTAATAATATTGCACAATTCAATCCCTTGATTTTTAGACCATTTTTCTATCATTTCTCTTACAAGATGATTTGGAGTAAGGAGAGTGTGTGAGAGAACTTGATGAGTTTGAGGGCATGTCCTATTTCCAGCATTCAACCACTTTTGAATGAATGGTCTATCATATGTCTGCAAAATTTAAACCAACAAATATCATGTAATCCGAATTTTGGCCAAGAAACAACTAAAGTCGGGTAATGATTATCTAAATCGGATTCAACCGAGCATTTCGTCTTTAACTAAAACTCATTAACATTTGAGTCTAACCACTTGATTAAAATAATGTATATAATACGTCTGAATAAGCCAATTATATTGATAGTTACATCGTACATCTAATTTCAGAATTGCTGAATCAAACTTGCGACATCTCACTTATTTACAGATGAAATATTTTTTAAAACAATATATATAATATGGATGAAATTCATAATTAGACAAGAAAAAAATCTCCAATTTGTTTTAAGTCATTATTGATTCAACCAACAAAATCTTGAAGCATCAATACAAAGAAAAAAGAGTGAGACAGTGAAAAGAAAAGGCGGTTTTGGTGGGGAAGGCATCAAAGTTAAAATTAGGGAAAAGGAAAAAAAAGTTAGAGAACAATAAAATTTAATTATTCCCTTTAGAGAAAATGAGTCAAAAGTTTTACACAAAGAAACACTCACCACCACTCACTCAAAGAGTGACTCAAGAACAAAGAATATTTATACATTGTTTATTTCCCACTCTTTCTCTTTCCATCAAATTTACTCACCTTTTCTTCCTTTTTTTTCAAAGAACATTGATTGAACAAAAACTACTAGATATTGAAAGAACATTGATTGAACAAAAAATGTAAGACATAATAAGAGCTATATAAAAGTCGGTTTTGAGGACGTGTAAATCAGACTAACGAGACAGTTTAAAATTTATTTGTTACAATTAAACCATACCTAAATAAAATCTTATAAAATATTTGTCATAGTTAAATTGAGATTAAATAGAATTTTAATTTTTTTATCATAATTAAACTGCAACTAATCTACAAAGAGCTTCTAAAAATTTGAGACATCTCTGACTATATATATTTATTGGTCTAGTAGATTAATAGTCGAAATTTCACCCTTAAAAATGAATAAATAGGATGTGACTATATATATTTATTGGTCTAGTAGATTAATAGTCGAAATTTCACCCTTAAAAATGAATAAATAGGATGTTGCATATTCAAAATCTACACCTTTGCAATCGGACTTAATTGTTCTTCCTGCAAGGTTACTGAGCTGATTTAACGGGACATAGATGATAAGAGGTAATACATATTATCAACATCATTGTATAGAAATACACATTTCTAAGGTTCTTGATAAGGAAAAATCTGAATATATTCCTTTTCTATCTTTACCACATACTTTATAGTCACCTAAAAGAATATAGTACAAAAATTCCAGCAAAAGAGATAGACAAAAAGCCAAAATCAGAATCAATAGCTTGGACCGGGATTTGCTGCAGTCAGCAAATACCCGCATTCACGCTATTAAACACTTATTAGCCATTCGATTACAATCATACAGTTCTAATTTAACTCCAATATTATCATTAATATTAAATATGTTTTTTGTAAACCGTTAGATTGATATCAGACGGTAAATGATGTCATGATTGCGTGATTGCGGAAATGTATGACTGCAGAGAATCTGTTTTCCAATAGCTTATATCTTAATGTATGATTATTCCTCAACTTTTTTGTATTTACACAAAAAAGAATAAAGAAACAAAAACATAACATGATAGTTTCAATTTTATTTAATTTTTTTATATTTTCCCAACATTTTCGCAATATTAATAAATTAATTAGTTAATTAAAGTTTGAACTAAAACACCAAAATTTCTGATACTAACCTGACCAGAAGCAACAATGACAGGATCTCTCATCAATTCTTTAGAAAGTGGACATTTGAATTCATCTGGGAAAGTAACATTCTTGTTTATCTTAAAAGACATTGAAGATTGAGATTTCTTTCTAAGCTTCAAATCCTTAAGAACACAAAGAGTTTCCTTAGCTTTATCAATAGCTTCAATGCTTGTATCTTCATCCTCAACAATGGACTTCACAAGCTTCTTTAACTCCTTCTTCATCTCCAAAACTTTCTTCACCATAATCTCTGGATCAGAATCCAACACCCCTGGTTTTGCCATGTTTGTGGTTCAATGAAATAGAGATAAAAAAAATCAATTTTTATCACACCCCAGATGATTAAAATACTCAACTTTGTTCATAGAATGGAGAAGTAGAAAATATCAGTGAAAAAACTCTCTTTCTCTCTCTATGTCTCACTCATATTACCATAAAGAATACATAAACTAAATTTTAGTTTTTCTCTCACTAGAGTTTGTTTTTTATATAAAAGATCTCATTTCATTGATGGGAGTATAATTGATGACCAAGTTATTCACTATGTGAGAGAGAGAGAAAAAAGTTATATTCTTCTTTGGTCTTATCCTCCAAGTTTCACATGAGCCATTGGTTAATAATAGATGAATTCTTATTTAAAATGATAATAATGCACATCAAGATATTAAAATAGAAAAAGATTGAATGTGTAACTTGGTTTCTACTTCTAGAATGGGAATATTATATAGTTAACAAATTCACCCTTTCAAGACTACTTTTTTATACAATGAGATAAGAAAACAAAATAGATATGTATATTTTGGGTATCAAATTGCATATATCTATGAGTTTAATGGTATACATCAAACAAATAAAATAAATTTAATTTAATAAATAATAAATAAATTTAATTTTCATAATTTTAATTTAATAAAGAGTTAAATATATTTTTGATCCTTATAAATATTTTAAATTTGATTTTTAATTCCTAATAAAAGAAATGACAAATCTTAGTCCCTAATAATTTTTTGTTCATTCAATTTTATTCCCTGCAATTTTTTAAAATTTTTAAAATTATTTAATTACCCTTAAATTTTTTAATAATAATTTTCATACGTGTTTAGAATATTATAAAATGTTTCTTTATCAAATTTTAGAATTTTTTTAAATGACAAGAATTAAATATGATTTTTTTAAATTTTAAAAGATAATGATAAAAATAATAAAAATCTCGACTTAGACATTAAATTTTGAATTTCATTTTTTTCTAAAAATTTTTTTATAACGTTCTAAACATGTCTACAAAATAATACAAAATAATCTTTCAAAAATACACATTAGTTTAATAACAGGGACTAAAATTACGTGCATAATAATTTTGTATGAACTAAAACTTTCCATTATTTTAATAAAGACTAAAAATGAAATTTGAGATATTTATAAGGATCAAAAATATATTTAACCCTTTAATATATATATATTATA